CCTGGCCCCACACATGTATTTTGTTGTGATTTTTTTTTTCTGGTGTTTTATTAACCCTATGTTTTCCTAAAAATAGAAATATGTAGATGTTGGATTTTAGGTCGTGGGTGGCACAGTGTATTTCATACTGCATCAATCAAGAGGAGAAAAAAGATGTAATACATGTATGATCATGTAGTGAATTTAGGGTGTGACATGTTACATAGCATATCAAGATTTTGCATCAATCTTTCATCAGATAGTTTTGCTCACTGAAGATTGTTGCTTAAGTAGTTATTTCATTGCAGGTGTTAAAATATTGGTTTCCTAGTTCAGCTGTTCTACATTTTTCAGTTGGGTTTAGTTTTTAGATAACTTTTTTATTAATTTGGACTGTATAATATCATGAAGTATATGGTTCATGGAAGTACAGACTGAGTGCTTAATTCTATTTTAGTTGCCAATTTTCAGAGTGATACTATCATTAACATTAAATAAATTCAGACTCTGAAAACATTGGAGTTTGTTAAAGAGTGGGTGTAAATCCTGTTTTTGACATTTATATTTTTAAAAACACAATAAAGTAAAGCATAGAAAAAGTTTAGAATCCACTATTAATTCACCTAGAATTTTTAAGTTATCAATATTTAAAAATCAGAAGTGATTAGGAGCTGTTAAGGAGTTAATATATTTTCTTTATCTTTTTATTTATTTATTTTTTTACTGAACTGGGGATTGAACTCAGACCCTTGCCCTTGCTAGGGAAGCACTTATTCTACTGAGCCATCTCCCCGGCCCCAGGAGTTAATGTATTTTAGAGTTTAACAAAATACCTAATGATACAAAATCAAACGTAAGGTAGTGCTCACTTGAAATCATAACAGTAAAAGGCATTTCTGACTTAGACCTTTTACTTTTTTAGGTATGAAAAGAGAATTTTTCCAGAGTGATTAACATTTTTAAGTATGTGGATTTAAGTTTCCTTAAGAGAAATATATTGAAAATACTGTTTTAACATAGTTTTTGTCTTATTTGCTGTTTTCTGACATCATCATGAGTTACTTTACTGTCTTAAACTTTAGGTAGGTAGACACATTTACGAACTTTCACATTCCGTAGCAGTGTTCCAAGAGCTTTTGGGCCCCGGGAGCTTGAAGTGAGGGTGGGGGTTGACTTTTTTTTTTCCCCCATAATTTTATTGATAAACAAATAGCATTGAGACAGTTTCAAATCAAATTGGTAGGACAGTTTCGATAATGAACACATTGTATACATTCCTCCCCGTGGTTAATTGCTGTAGGGGTTGACTGACTTGCCTAAGGTTACTCAGTTGTAAGCGGTGTAGTATGACTCTAAAAGAGGCAGACTCTTAATCTGGTTCTGCAGCGTATTTCGTGAACTGCTTGATAAACTGCAGGATATAGGTTGGTAAAAGGACATCTGTAAGATTTGTGTTTTGTTCCCACTGCAGTGAGGTGGGATTTATATTTCTACCGTAGATCCAGTGTAGTACGTATATCTACTGCATTTTAATAGTTATCTGGGGAGTGATGCAAGTCTAGTTTAGAGTGCGTGCCTGGCATGTATGAGGCCTGGGGTTCTATCCCTGCACTGCAAAACAGAAAGTGCAAGAGAAAAACCAAGTATATTTTGGATGGTTCAGCACATTGAATTGCTTTTGTTTTATATATGAGGTGGGAACCATACAAGGTCAAACAACATCAGTGTTTTTAAAAATCATTGTTTTCAGGCAAAGAATAATAGAAACAAACTTGTGCCTGACGCTGGCTGTTGAGTTTATTATTCATCGTGGTGACTGAGAACTATACCATGGGAAATGGTGCCAGTCTCCGTGAGTAGGTAGTAGGAAGCACTTATGTAGTAATGGGGTGTGCCCCTTGATACAGGAAGGATTCAAAGTAGCAGCGATTTGCTGTGAATTGGGCTCTGGCGAGAAGAAACTGGGAGAGAAGTCCATGGCTTGTGGACGTCTGTGTTTTAGTCTATGTTTTAATCTTACTTAGAGTGCTGGCGGAGTGAAGCAAGGGCAAAGCCTAGATCAAAAAACCAAGTTACGGTCACATTTTCTTGTCCAGAGTAGGAGACAGTATATTTATATTTTGTTCTCTATTCAAGCATTATTGTGAGAGTAGTTTTGTTGTTGTCTTAATTCCTTATGGTCATAGAGTGGCCTTGTCTGCTGGTGTTCTGTGAAGTTAGTTATATTCAGCCAAGTGTTAAAGCCTAGTTGAGGGTAGCGGGTCAGTGCCTGAATACTGGGCTGTTTCTTCTAATTTTTTTTTGTAAGTGTGAACCAGGTTTATTTCAGGAAAAAAGAAATGAGTAAACATACATAAACCAACAGTAAGAGATTACTGAGAAACAAAAAGATTTAAACTTCTTAGTACTTTTTTATATCTTTGAAGTTATATTTTAGTCTTATTGAAATATTTTTAATAAATGTGGGGTTACATTATTCATATATTTCATCTTTTTATTCTTAAAAATTGTCTTTCATTGTAAGATATCTGGCTTTTATGCAATATGGAAAAAAATTAGGGTTATTGGAATGGAATTGTAATTGTCATTTTTATGAATGTCGGTAAAATGTCTAGTATCTGTATCCAGTCATCTTATGTGTCTTAGGTCGTTAAGTACCATGTATCTTCACATGTTTCTGTGTGCACGTGTAAATGTATAGTATATGATCATATTCAACTTCGTTTTATTTTATGCTGTGTATTGAGCTCAGGGCTTGTGCCTAGTAGACAAGCACTCTGTCACTAAATCCATCCAGTCATTCAAGGAAAGCTTATATAGGCAAGAATTAGAGAATGTAAATTTTATTAGATAAAGTCATTAATGTTGGTAACTATGTGGGTTCTGGTGTTTATTGAGTCCCTAGTGTTTGCTGTGAAGATACAGAAAACATAGAGCATGATTTCTGGAATTTTAGGAGCTTAAACTCATTCACAATGCATATTGCAGAACATTTATAGTTTTCAGTGTTTAAACAGTAATTAAAATATTTTATCTGTGGGTGAGATCTGAAGTTACAGCATAGCATGTATGAATCCTTATGACATAATAAAAAGATGTTTTTCAACACAGACTTATTGAAGGATCCCACTTGGACTGAGTCTTGCTGTTTTTCATGCTTGCCTTGGCCACACCACAGGAATAGAGGAACAGGCAGGAGGGTCTCTGATTGGAGGCCAGCCTAGGAAAATAAGTGAAATGTTGTCTCAAAACAAAAAGGATTGGGATATAATTCAGTTGTATAGCATTTGTCTAGTGTCCATGAGGGTCCTGAGTTCACTTTGCAGCAGGGGGTGAGGAGGAGGAACTTCCTTCGAAGATGTGCAGCTTTTTAGAAAATATTATTTAATATCACAGTAGTCTAATTGAGCAAGAAATGCATATCCATTTTCTTTTTTTCATACATATCCATTTTCTCAGGCACTAATTGTGCATACTTTTTTGTGATACTGAAGATTGAACCCAGGACTTTTGCCCTGAACTCCATCTCTACCCACTTTGAAACCAGGTCTTGTCTAAATCACTAAGTTGTCCTGGAGGTACCTAAACTTGGAGTCTTCCTGGCTCAGCCCCAGAGGCTGGGGTTGTAGGTGTGTGGTACTGCACTGAGCTATATGTATTTTCGAAACTTTTGTCCTTTCTCCTGTTCTTGTCTAATTATGTTGGAAACAATGTCAGTGTCACTTTCATGGTCCCCCACTTTATTTCATTTGAGAGCCTCTGAAAGTTCTGAATGATAACTGGGTAAATGTCAAATTAGTACAGAGGAAAATGAAAGCTACAACTTTTGAGCAGCTAGTATTTTAAGAACTACTATTACCAGTCACCTGGTTGCTTTTTAAATCGACTTTCCTGTGCTCAGCTTAAAAAAAAAAAAAAAAAAGATCAATGTATTTATTATTTAAAACTCTTGAAAAGTCCCTCAAGTTCCACTTAGAAAATACCCTAGAAATCTTCTTTTCTTCCTTCAAGTTTAAAGTTTTTAAAAATGTCTTTTTATTTATTTCTTTATTTGGTATAGGGTCTTACTATGCAGCTTGGGCTCATAGTCGTCCTCCTGTCTCACCCTCCCCAGTGCTAGGATTACAGATGTGCTCCACCATGCCTGGTTTTGGTGGCTGGCACAGCGGCACAGCAAGAGATTCTGGGGATCAAATCCAGGCCTTTGTGCTTGCCAGACAGGCACTTAGACTGCTGAGCTATCTCCCTGGCCTTTTCTTCCAAGTTTAAACTGTCATAATTTAGTACTTAAAATATTTTTAATCTTTGAAATAAATATTTTTTTTTTCTGGTGAGTTGATGATTTTCCATGATGTACCATAATGTTAATGTATACTTAAATCTTTGAATATGATTAAGAGCTTTTGTATATAATGGGTGATGCTAGGAATATGACTGTCACATCCTCAGGGACATTTCACTTTATTGGATAAAGCAAAGATTGTGTATGTGTGTGTGTATGGGTTCACACATACACAATGATTGCCTTACAAAGTGGACTGATGATAGATATGAAAATATTATAGATAAAATGAATAATTTTTTGGCTCAAAGAAGACATGATGTTATTGGAATTAAAGGCAGTGTGTTAAAGTTAGTATTCCTTGCTTAAATCTAGAATAAAAATCGTAGATATATTAGACAAAATTGTATTCCAAGATTCTTTTCTTTTGGTGCTAGGAATCCATCCCAGGACTTTGCGCCTCCTAGACCAGCATTCTGCTATTGAGGTACATGTCCAGTCTTCAGAGATTCTTTTTGTTAAAAAGTTGGTGTTTTTCTTGTTTCTTTTTATTCCTGGACTCTGGGAATTGAACACAGGATCTCACACATGCTAAGCATGTTCTCTGCTACCAAGCTACACCCTGAACCACTGGTGTTTTCCTAGAGTTAGTATTTTGCTCATTATCTTTGTTATCTCTTTTCACATTCCTTAACAATATGTAACTGCTTTTTTCCTCATGTTTTTCTTTTTCTGGCAGCTCTTCACAGATGGGATCACAAACAAACTTATTGGCTGTTATGTGGGTAATACCATGGAAGACGTAGTCCTGGTGAGAATTTATGGCAATAAGACTGAATTGTTAGTTGATCGAGATGAAGAAGTGAAGAGTTTTAGAGTGCTGCAGGCTCACGGCTGTGCACCGCAGCTCTACTGCACCTTCAATAACGGACTGTGCTATGAGTTCATACAGGGAGAGGCCTTGGATCCAAAGCACGTCTGCAACCCAGCTATTTTCAGGTATTTACTTTTCTGAGTATTTGGTTATGAAAAAGTATATTAAATGCATGAAGGAAACATTGTTTAAAATTCCCCTTTTTTCAACAACTATTTGGTTCACTTAGAAACTTTCTTTAGTTGGAGCTTTTATTTCTAAAAAAAGAAATTGTTTTTAAATGATATTTACTATTTTCATAGTTGACTCTTCAAAAGAAAAAGCTGCAAGAGATTTTTAATTTAGAGCTATCTAAGATTAAGGCTTCCTCTAAATTTTTTGGTAGGAGAAAGGGTTTGTACTGAGGTCTGAACCCAGAATCTTTGCACTGACCTTCATGTCCCGTCCTTTTAAAAAATGTTTTGTTCTGAGACAGGGTCAAACTCAGTTGCTGAGTTGCCTAGGCTGGGCTTAAATTTGCAGTCTTCCTGCCTCAGCTTCCCAGAAGGCTGGGGTAAGGGCATGTACCACCAGGCTCGGTTTCCTCTTTAGGTAGTGTTTTATCAAAGTGGTACACATTTGTTGGTCAACTGCTTATTACTTAATTGTTGATATTTATAGAGTCTCTTATTTCTTTTGTTTTTGTTATCAAAGACAACAAGTTTTTCATTTTAGAATTCCATGTTTTATATTTTGTATAAAGGAAAATGTCTTTGATATCCTCATTATACTTCTGAAACTATCAACTTCTAAAATTTGCTTTCTGCTTTTGAAGCCCCTAGAAAATGAACTTGATTTGAAAATAGCAGGTTTGTTGTTTATTTTGTTCTCAAATCCTCTTTGTAGCTCTGAAAATTTCCTGAGGACCAAGAGAGGTTTTATTTCTGTATTTCATCTATGTTTGTCAATATTGCCATGTCAAAAGTTAAAATAGAATGTTGAGAATATGGGAACATCACGTGGACACCTTGTTGCCATCAGTATGATGTCAGGTATTATACAGCCTCTGAAACTACACTGTACACTTGGGAGGCAATAAGAATATGTTGAATAATGACTCGTGAAAACCATTGTCTACTATACACTTCCTACACCTCAAGTCCCCAGGGATTATGCTTTAAGAATTGCTGTGTTAAAACAGTGATAAAAATTAAATGAACCAATGTTATTGCCCTTTGGTAAACTTGAATGTATTAATACATGTTAGAATAAACATTTATTCAAGCCCTAAGTTTTAGTTATCAGGCATACGAATCCTTTTACGTGAGTATACTCATTAGATGTGTTGTGTTGAAGGATCCTAGTTAATACATTATGCTTGCTTGCTTGCTGTGTTGCCCAGGCTGGCACTGAACTGAAGAGCTTTCCAAGTAATC